ACACACACACACACACACACACACACACACACACACACACACACACACACACACACACACACACACACACACACACACACACACACACACACACACAGACACACAGACACACACACACACACACACACACACACACACACACACACACACACACACAGACACACACATACACACAATGTCATGTTGTCAATTGTCAGCATGGCGGGGGAGGGGGTGAGGGGGATGGGGGGAGGGGAGGGTGGCGATGTGGCTGTGGTGGTTGATGAGGGGAGGGGGGTGTTGGGGGCGGGGTCAGTGGAGGGGGTTGAGGGGGCTGGTTCTTCCAGGGGCTCGGTGGTGCGGTCAAGCTCGGTGCTCGGTGCTTCATCGGGGACGGTGGAGGTGGAGGATGAGCCGGCGGCGGTTGAGGATCGGGTGGTTGACCGCGAGGAAATGGCCTGGCAGGCTCGGCAAAAGCTGAAATGGGCTCTGTTGGCGCTGCTTGGAATGCTGGGCGCTGCAGCTCGCTTCGGGTTGCAAAGGGTCGCGGACGAGTCGGGGTTTGCGGCCCTTGCCTCGCTCGTTCCCCTCATGCTGGGCTGCTTCATCCTTGGTGCCAGCACTCGCTTCTTTGCTGGCCGTCCCGTGCACAATGGTAAGTCGCCACACGGACCGCCCGGCCAGCAGCAGGGATGACAGTCGTCCTACACGCCTTGCCAGCCCTGATGCCGCCCATGTTTTTTTTTAAAACCCCGTTCAGAGCTGGCCCTGGGTGTGGGCACGGGCTTTTGTGGCTCCCTGACCACCTTCTCCTCTTGGATGGCCAGCGCTGCCCAACGCCTAGTCGACGCTCAGCACACCCTCTCCACCGGTGACCAGGTCAGCCCAAGGTGCCGCCTTGTCGACTCCCGGTACACTTCTGATTGATGTGCGCCGCTCCACCTTTAGATCTATGGCTACTTTGTGATCATTTTTACGGGTTTGCTGGCCTCTTTTGGCGGCTTTGCCATGGGTCGCAGACTTTTGGTATGTTTGCCCCCATCCACATGGGGATCAAGGCATGACAGTAGGGCTACAGTGTACCCTCAGCCGGACTGACCAGTTGATCTTTTTCAGTCAAACCCGGAGAGGCTGCCCGAGCACCTGTCTGTGCTCACTGCCATCGCGGCCGCGTGTGGGGTAATGTGCGTAACACCGTCTTCGCTTTCTTCATGGTGGCCTTCTCATTGCCACTAATCTGGTTGAAATCGCCTTGCCATTGGCTCGCTCCCGCCTCGTGCTGGATGGTAGCTTAATACTGGGGCTCGCCATCGCTTTCGGCGAGCATCACCTGGTCATGGCACTCATTTTTGCCCCCTTTGGTTGGTGGCGCATCTTTTGCCCTTGCACAGCAAAAACCACCTTGCCTTCACCTGGCTCCTCCACGCCTCTTGCTGTCAGGTGTCGCAGGACGAGTGTGGCTTGCAACACAGTTTTGCAACTCGACCTCACGCCTAGGTACCTTCTATGCTAATATGCTGGGCACGTTGGTCGTGGCCGTGCTCCTAGCCGTGCTTTTGCGTGGCGATTTTGGGAATGAGGACGGCTGGGAGCGCGGTACAACCGTGATCTACGGCTTGATCACCGGCTTTGCTGGCTGTTTGACGACCGTTTCCACTTTTGTCAAGGAGGTGGGTCATTGCTCGGCGCAGCCGACTCGGCATGCCGCCTTCCCCTCACGATGCGTCCTTTGTTGCCTGTGCTTCTGCATTGCTACTGTTCTAGCTCAACGAGAAAGACAGTGTGGCGCGCGCACTCAAGGCGCCGGCTTGGTCTCGGTGGACGTTGCAACCCTGGCGCTATGCCTTGGGCAGCATCGTGGGCAGTCAAATCATCCTGCTCGGGGTCTATGGCAGCTTTGGATGGACAAATTAGGCTGATGGCCTTTCCGTGGTCGACGCTGGAGCAATTTGACCTGTACCGAGTACGATGGTTCACAGCGCAGCCTGCTGTATGCCGTGTCAGCCGTGAGTCTCTGCGAGAAAGGTGGACAGCTGCATGCTGGCGCTCAAGCAAGCTCAGCAAATCAAAAGTTTTTGAAATTGAGTTGCGTCAAATCATGCAATTGTCTTGAGCGTCAACTTGGTAGACAAGCATGAAACTTGGCAAGGCCCGAAGCGTGGCGTCTCACGCAGCCAATGACAACGACGCGCAGCGTCGCTGGCCCGAAAGAGAGGCCTCAATGTTGGGGGTGCACGGGAAGCGGACACACACGTACATGTAAGAATGGACACGCGCAGAGCAAAATTAGCAAACAAACAATTCTTGACGCGCAATGCGGCCGGATCTACAAGACTTCGTCGCCCTCGGCCACGTTTTTGACGCTGAGAATCTCAACCAACCCTTGGCCCTTGGTTTCATGACCCACGAGCTCCGTCAGTGCACGAAAAGTGCCTGGGTCAATGGTGCACTCCTATCATCGTTTGAGCGACGGGTACGACAATGTGAGGTGCAGGACCGTGCCAGTCAGAAGAACCGCGGCGTGCGTGATACGGACCAGCTCCAGGTCATCGTCCCAATCTTCATGCTCAAGGGCGATGGTGAGCGGTAGCACCAAGGGTTTGACGCGCTTGGCTTCACGCTGTGGGAGGCGGACGCGGACGGACATGCTGGCGCGAGCAATGGAGATGGTTTCGGCCAGCTTCTTGATCACATCAAGGGCCTGGGCCTTGGCACTGGCTGTGGGCTTGACGGAGACGTGGATGTCACGCATGGCACGCTCAATTTGTGCAGCCGTGTACGGGCGCTCCGTGGCAGGGTCGATGCACTTGTCCGCGACAATGGTGGCCACTTCTTTGAACAGGGCTCCGAGTTGTGCATCGCGCTCCTCCTTGGACACTTGCAGCTCTCCTTTGTCCAAAATCTACATCCCCAAGGGCCGCCACCAAGAGGCCGAGTGAAACCCAGACAGATACCGCGGGCCCACGGCGAACAAGCGAGAGTACACCAGAACAAGCGCTGGACATACGATGCGACAAATCTTGGTGTGGTCGTCGGTACCATAGGCCTTTTGCAGGTCGGTGTTCTTGGCCACTTCACCCTTGGACACGTTGGTGTACACGGTGTGAATTTGCAGCACCTCATCGATATCCTTCTCCCTGCAGTCCATCAAAGCAGAGGTCACATCAATCCGCCGCGTGCACGCAAGGGAGCCGACACACACGCGTCCAAGAACTTGCACCACGCAAAAGTCGCGCGCACGCAGCATGGGCGCAAGCAACGTACACCTTGTTGCGCCAGGAGAGGACCTTATTCTTGAAGCAAGCAATCTCAAACCGCTTGCCCCCCTTCTTCTGCCGCACGACCGCAATGTTCGTCAACAGCTTCTGATTGGTCGGGGTGAACATGCGCGCCGACATCTTGCCAGTTTCCACAGAGAGAGAAGACAGAGACAGAGAGACAGAGACAGAGAGAGAGAGACAGAGACAGAGAGAGAGAGCGAGAGAATGAGAGAGAGAGGAAAATGGCTGACGCACACGTGTGACAAAGAGAGAGCGTTAGAGAGAGAGTTTGAGAGAGAGAGTTTGAGAGAGTTTGAGAGTTTGAGAGAGTGAGAGAAAGAGAGAGAGAGAGAGTTTGAGAGAGTTTGAGAGAGAGAGCAACTCTTGAGAGGGAGAGAGATGAGAGTTTGAAGTTCTGGGGTTATGTAACATTGTAATTTTGATGCGGGACACGTCAATGGAAAGAATAGGCACGGGCAGACAAAGTTGGGAGAGGGCTGAGGGGAAACCTCCTATCGTGCAGTTGTTTCCCGTGCTGGCCGGCCAATGTTCATCTCCACCACAGCGCGTATGTCTCAGTGATGGAGGGGAAAGGAAGAAGTTGACGCGCCATTGGCACAGTCGGAGGAGGCTGAGTTCGATGGATCAGGCACATGCCTTGTTGGCTGGCCACTCAGCCACATCAATGCGTTGCAGGTGGCTGAGATCGGTGGTACCGGCCTTGAGGGCGCGGTAAAAGTCACCAATGCTGGCCTGTAGCGTTCGCCCACCCACCTGCCAACTCGGGTTGTTAAAGTAGTCGCCATAATACGCCTGACTGTGAGCAATGCAGGAATCACTCCACACCGCATGACGGGTGCTATTGGTCGCACGAATCTGTCCCAAGATGGTGGTGTGCACGGCCTACAGGTGGTGGCCGGGGGCATTATGAGACAAGCCGGCACAGGCCGTGAACAGAAGCAAAAAAAAAAAAAAAAAGGTGAGGGCCTTGGGTGGGGCTCGGGACCGACCTGGAATTGATCCATCTGGTTGGCAGAGCACGTGTTGTTGCTGTACTTGGGGGTGCAGCTGACATCAAAGATGTTTGAAAGCTGCCAGGAGTCGTAGCTTGACTGAATCATGTGAAGGCGCGTGGAAACAAACGGGAGCGCGTGCTGTGTGGCCATGCATCGCCAGGCTTCGGCAGCGTTGGCCGCCATGCAATCAGCGTCTCCCACGACGCTGGCAAGCCGCGAAATGTTTTGGATCTGGGCCGGGTACAGGTCGCGGCCCCCGACCGTGTTGTTCATCATGAAGAAACCCGCATCGGGGATGGCGCCAAAAAGTGCTCCCGCGGGTACACGCGATCCCACGTAGTCGGCATGCATGTACGTGCCCAAGCCTCCGGCGCTGTGACCGCTCAAAAACACTTCAGTGGCGCTGTCCAGCCCGCGATGCCGTTGCAAATGATCGAGAAAGGCTTCAAGAATGCGCAGGCCGCGGAAGAAGAGCGTCTGGTCCCCCACCTGCACGGGCTCGGAGTGATTGCCGCCATAGGACGTGCCATCGCAATAGTAGAGATAGGCCACGTTCCACGATGAAAAATCCGGATTGAAGCCGGGATCATTCTTGGTAATGCCGTCTCCTTGAATCGTGGTCTCGAAAAGGGTGCTGGTGCCCAAGTTGGTCTTGGCCCGAGCCGCACAGTCTTCCAAGCTGTAGCACCAGCCGCCCCCGTTGAACACGAGCAGAAATTTCGTCGCGTTGGCCGCCGATCCCGCCCGCCAATAGTATCCACCTGAGGGAGCAGGCCAAGGTGAGCGACTCAGCAGATCAAAACACCTCCCCCACCTCAGACTGGACCAGGCTCATCAATCACCAGGGCAGCCATGCATGAGCCATCGCATCAAGGGCGGATGCTCACCTGGCGAGCCATCCAAACAGCGAGCGCCAAGCTCATCAACCCCGTCCGTGAGCAGCGTCAAGTTGAGCGCATTGCTTGCCGTTGCACAAGACCCCAGTCCAAAGCCCACCACCGCCACCACCGCCGCCAAAGCGCGCAGCCCACCCTGCCCCATCATGTCCACTGGTTGGTACCGCCGGCGTCCGTCCGTCCGTCCGTGTGTGTGTGTGTGTGTGTGCGATCGGGAGAAAAAATCATCAACAAACTCGAATTGTCAGATGAAATATATCGTATTTAACTATTCAATAATCTACTCAAACTAATATGTTACACATTAACAAAACAGTAAAAGCTATACAGTATTCTACGTTTAATCATGAGTCACATAACCATCCTATTTGCAACGAAAAGTGTATAAGGATAGACATTGATTTCTACATAAACTGAAAATATATCTGCACAAACGACGCGAGCTTCAATACACTGGCGACTGTGTGTGTGTGTGTGTGTGTGTGTGTGTGTGTGTGTGTGTGTGTGTGTGTCTGTGCGTGCGGGTCAATGGCATCGGGGGGCGGCGGGTCAACTCTTCTTGGTTCAGCGGACAGCCACCTCAACGCCTCGAATCGGTTCTGATGGATGGTAGATTGATGATGGATAGGATGTCCGTGAGCTGAGTGGGCCTTGGGGCGCGTTGCCCAGCAATTCAAAGGGTTGGCCCGAGATGCACAGGCGCACATCACTGCTTGCATGCATCCAGTTGCCTGATGATGCCTTGCTGGGTGCGCGCGTAACACACACACAGACACAGACACACACACACACATTTGCCTCAACTGCTGTCTGACCCCCGCCCCACCGTTGCGCTGGTGTTGGCTGGAGAACAGAAGAAAAACGGTCAGCGCTCAAAGGCGAAGAGGCCTTGCTGACAGCCGCGTTCTGTGAGGACAGCAAATGGTTGAGAAGCGATACTGGCCATTTCCACAGCGCTGCTGCTCGCGCGTTGACGCTCGTGTCTCATCTCAATCTTAAACCTTGCCCAGAACGAACGAACGAACGAACGAACGACTCCACCCAACTCTGCAATTGTCTTAGCCTTGTCTCAAGGCTACTCGGCACTCTGGCGTGCCCCCCGCGCCTCCGCATCCGCATCCACGCTTCCTTACCGTTCCAAAGACACACCCAGTTTATTCATCCAAACTTTGTTTCATTGGCGTATTTGATCACATCCCGTCCCCCGCGGCACCAGCCTGGCTGGTGAAGCGACCAGCACCATGTTACGGGGCGGCCTGCATGATCTGTTGAGTGATGTTGTGCAACGTGACGTCGAGTGCGTCGTTTGTGGCAACAACGCGGGCCACCTCAAGTTGGTGGATGGCTTAGACCTGCTCTGCTCCCACTGTTACTGCGTCGACTGCGAGCGGCCGCTCCGCCGATTTGGCCTGACCATCCGCGATGAAGCCCCAGCCATCTGCGAATGCACCACCACGCACAACCACAAGGTATCCACGGTCATTGAACCCCTCCGACCACCACGGCCACCACACACACCACCACCACACCACCACCACGGCCACCCACACACATACAAAACGACACCATGTACCTTTTCAACTTCACCACTCCTTCTTCAGTGTCCAAAACGCGTGCAAGCCTCACCGACCTCAACGCATCCGATGGCGCGCTCGATAGGCCCTTGGCAAACAACACCGGCTGGAGCACAAGTCTACAACCTCGGGCTCACATTACCCCTCACCCGACTCTCCTCCACCCGTCTCCATTCCAGCCCGGCGCCCGACTGAAAAGGCCCTTAATGGCGTCAGCAGCCACCAACACGATGAGCATGGGACGGTTGCGACTGCCGACGGCGCTTCAATCGAGGTGGCGGAATGCCTCAGTGGTATTCATACCCTTCAGAACCAGACTGAGCGACTGACCGTCAAGCTCGAGTCGGTGCGGGTGGAGGTGCACAACCTAATGGATCGGGATGACGGCGTGGCAGGAAACGTCGACAACGTTCTTGACCGCATGGTTGACGTCTGTGCCCTCCAAGAGGAGGTACAGGCCCAGCTGCAGACGCTGCTGGAGCAGTCTGCCGCCTTGCGTGAGGAAGTGCATCGCCTGAGCACCCACCTTCATTCAGAGCCTTCCCCCGGTGAACAGCTCCAGCGCCTCGCTGCGCACTTGGATGCACTCATCCAGCAGGAGCAGCAGAGCCAACAGCAGCTTGCCAAAGCTCAGCTCACTCAACATTCAAAACAGTTCCAGCTTCAGGATGCGCTTCTCCAACAGCTGCGTGATGTTCAAGATGAGCAAAGTCACGCCCGACAGCTGCTACAGGAATTGGTGACACGGCATCCACATCAGATACAAGACAAACTGCGCGATCTCACCCCACCACCCGAACCGGCTCTCAGTGCCAGCGCGGTGGGCAAGGAGCTCGATGCAGTCCTTCAGCGGCACCTGGACGACATGAATCGTCGCTTTGAGCTTCAGCTTGCCACGGCGGTCGCACAGCAAGCTAAACAACAAGAACAGGAGCAACGGCAAGAGGCATCGAGTGCTCAAGCAGACGCTTTACGCGAAGCACGCCAACAACTCGCGGCGCTCGAGCAGGAGAAACGTGCGCTCGAGACCCGCCTGGAAGCGCAGGAGTGTGAAAACCGACAAAAAGTTGTGGCTGCGCAAGACCTCGAAAAGCTGCGTGCACAGCTCACAGCCCTTGCGAGCGAGGCGACAAAGCAACGCCAACAGCAAAACGAGGTCGAGGAAGCTCTACTGACGCGGCGCCGCGATCTACAAGCACTGGAGCATGAATACCAGCTCAAGGAGGAGGCTCTGCGTACACGTTCAGATCTGGCCACCCAGGCAGCCGCGGCACAGGCCGAGCAGTTGCGCGAGCAGTTGCAGATCAAGCAACAACAGCTGCACGAGCTGCAAGAAAATCTGTCCGCAGAGCGAGCCCGCCTCGACCAAGATCGTCGTCAGCTGCAGGAGCAATTGAGTTTGCAGCGCGCTCAACTGGATCAGGAGGCAGAGCAGTTGCGCACGCGCGCCCTTGAAGAGCGCGCCGCCATTCTTGCTAAAACCGACTCTGCTGTGTCTGAATCGGACAAGCGCCGCCAGCAAGCCTGGGATGAGGCCGAGGCTCGTGTGGCGCAGGCCATGGAGGAGGCAAATCGAAGGGTGGCGCGCGTTGAAGCACAAGCCGCGCAGCAAATCGAGCAAGCCGAGGCAAATAGCCAAGCACGGCGTCGCGAGGTCGAGGAGCACTTGCGGACAGCGTTGCAGCAGGCGCAAGCAGCCAAAGCGGATGCCGAAGCCGAATTTGCCGCGATGCAGGCGGATCGTGAGCGTGTTCAATCCGAACTCCAACGCCTGGCAGCCCACGCAGCAGAGCAAGCTGCTGAGGCCGAGGCAGCCGACGCTGCTCGACAGCGTGCCCTAGCACAGGCAATGGAGGCTGAAGCCGAGGCAGAGCGCGTGCGCGAAGAGCTACAGGCTGCTCAGTCACAGCTGGAGCAGGCCCTTGAGGAAGTGGAGCTGGCCAAACGGGCAGCCGGTGCGCGAGAAATTGAGGAGCAACGGGCTGCCGCTGCCCTGGCTGCCAAAGAGCGCGAGGAGGCTGCCAAACTCGAGGCTGAGCGGCGGCGCCGCGAAGCTGAAGAGGCAGCCGAGCGATTGCAGGCCGAGGTTGGTGCAACAGCCCAGAGCTGCTTTTGTGTGGCATGTGCCGTTCTTGATTCCGGACTCATGATTTGTGGGTGTCATTGTTGATAGACCTTGCTGCTGCAACAAGAGTGGGAGCAGAAGGAGCAGCAACGTCGGCTGCAGGCAGAGCAGGAAGAGGCAGAAGACCGTCAGCGACAAGCGGAAGCAGCGCTACGACGCAAAACGCAGTTGGACCGAAACCTGCGGAACCGTACAATCCGCCAGGTACGCAGAAGCTCTGACGTCCTGCAGCTATGGTCCTTGCCTCCAACCGGCAGCTTTGGCCCACCCCCATCTTGCATTTGAAATTTGTGGTGGTTTGTGTTCCTTTTGCTACAGGCCAATCATACAGTCAAGCTGACGCGGAATCGGGCAGACAAGCTCAAAAAGGATGGTAGTGCGACGTCTAGCTACGGCTTTGAGCTAGAGGGTGGCGATGACGTGGATGGGCTGCAGCCACACGTCGCCTCGATTGAGGAGCACAGCCCAGCTGCTTGTGCCGGTGGCCTGCAGTTGGGTGATTTCATTCTCAGCGTCAACGGCCAGGTCTGGTTGTTGAGCCTCGCCTCGGAACCTTTGGGCACGATCGGCGTGTGCAGGTGTGCGGTGCGCGCAGCCCCCTAACCTGCCTCGGCTTGTAGATTGTCACACACAAGACGGCAGCACAGATTGGACAGACCATTAAGCAAGCAGGGCTGCGGGGCCATTTGAGCTTGCAGGTGCACCGCGATTACTCTGGCAAGATTCTCCGCGAGCTCAAGGACATGACGGAGGTACGGGCTTTTGCTCAAACCCCGACGAGCGCGGTGGCATGCTGAAAGTCGACGTCGTCGGGGGTGCGTGACGCAAGTTGATCTTGGTGTTGCGGGTGCTGGCAGGTCAATTCTACGGCAGCGCGACACAAGAAAGACAAGCAAAATCGAGCCTCTGCGAAAAAGTTTGCAGCAGCTGCACGAAACGTCCGTGCTGCGACAGCGGCGAGCAAGCTTCTCAAGCCGCCTGGCAGCGGTGGGCGTGGCGTGTAAGTTGTGCAAACAAGTGGGTGGTCAAAAACGACTTTTGTCAATACAGAAATGCTGGCTACCATAGCTCACTTCTTTTTCATGGTTTCCCTCTTGTTCGCGAAGATCACGTTCGGGGGCCAACTCGGCCACCAGCACGCCACGGAGCACGCCGCGGAGCACACCACGCAACACGCCTCGCGCGACGCCCAAAGTGACGCCCAAGTCGTCGCCTCGGCTGCAGCGACGCCTGGCGCTGCAAACCCCGCCGTCGTCTCAGGAACGGACAACGGGGCCGGCCGGTAGTGCGAGTGAGACGACGAGCGCCGCCGCGTCCACGAACACGTCGCCGCGACCCCAGCGCCGTGCAATTTCCCATCCCACCTCCCCTCCAGATACAATGACACCGCCCACCAAGGGCACATTAAAAGCCCTGTCGCAGGCCCGCAAGCGCAACAGTCTCGAGCCACGCCAACGTCCTGATGCCGAGCCATGAGGTTGCTCATAAGTATTCATAATAATATTATTATTATTTCCCCCTGTGCCTGCTTCAACAAGTGAAAAGCCTGTTCCTTGTGTGTGTGTGTGTGTGAGTGTGTGTAACGAATAGATGCCTGTCTCTGAGATGAATGCCGAGACCGATGAACAGGCCGTAGTATCTCAAACCCTAGTCCTGTCCCTCTGCCGTGAAACAAGACGGATCGAGTCCTTTGGCCTCGACTGTAGGCCTCATGGCTTGGTGTGAAAACCTTCCTGGCGACCGTAGCATGCAAGCAGGCTTTGCTTCTTGAAAGAAACGTGTATAGTCCCCTAATGAAAAACCAGTCGCACAGTTATACAGAACCTTCCTTTTGCTGACATTCCTTTCCTCCCCGTTACCAAACGACATTCATCAATCATGTCCAAAAGTGTGTTATTCGTTCCACTTGTGTTGCCATTCAAGTGTGTACAGCGTCACACTTGAATGGCATTTGGGTTTCTCAACTGCTGTAAGAAAACCAGAGAGAGAGAGAGAGAGAGAGAGAGAGAGAGAGAGAGAGAGAGGGAACGTGTGTGTGTGTGTGTGTGTGTGTGTGTGTGAAAGGGCAGCGCTGCGTTGCGTGCTCGTTGGGTTGCACGTTGCGGGGCGTTGTGAACGGCAGCGGCGCCAGGTGCTGAATTGTTAACATTTTTGTATTGTGGTCGTGTGGGTGGTGATGCGTGTGGCAGTGGGGAATTGTCTCTTGGCTTGCTGTGTGGCGTTGTCTGGCGGTTGTGCATCGTCACATGTGTGCGCGTGTGTGATGCCGGCGACGGCGACGGCGACGGCACGATGGCGGAACCCCATCCTTGCTGGGCAGCTCTTGTTGTGGTGTTTTGCATCGGAATCCCAGTGTGGTCGTGTGCTTTGCGTGTGGCGAGGGTCGTCGAGTCATCGAGTCCCATGCCGCCCAAACTTCCAGAGCGCCTTTTCCGAGTTGTTTTTTCTGCTTCGGGTCCCTTGGCGTCTCTGGGATTGTGGTCGCTTGTTTGCCATGTTGTCCGTGCCTTCGAGTCCAGATGAGTAACCATAGCGGCTGTCTGACCTCATCGCTGTTTGATCCATGGCCTGCCATGTCGCAGACATCGTGTCGACTTTGCACGGCTGCATTTGAACCTTTGCCATGGCACCCCATAATCCTTTGGTCACCTCGGCTGGCAAGGATCACTTGATCCTCTCCAAGCAGCTCTGCATCTTTGTCGGTACGTATGAATTGCCTTTTGGCCACCGGTGACTTGGAAGGCAGAGAACGGACGGATTTTTTTTCTCCCTCTTGTCGATCCAGCACTGTAAGTCTCTTTCTCACCTTGGGGCTCGATCCTCCTGGTATTTCTAGCCGTGTTGGTGGTGTGCGGTGGTTTTCTGTTCTACCGCGTGGAGCAGGGGGCTGTGCAGCGCTCAATGCGCAATGCCAACCATGTCTCCGAGTCCAACTCTCAGCTCAAGGAGAAGAACACGGCCCTCGAAGAGGCCAAGAAGCAGCTCGAACAGGACGAGGAAGCGTGAGTTTTTGTTGCATCTGTTCCATCAAGCCTTGCCTGTAGCATGCCTTGGCTTCTCATCTTTCAAGGCGAACCAGTTTGAGGTGAACAATGTCCCGACACTGCGCTCACCTCTGATTCCCACGTGGCAGTCTGACGCAAATGTACGAAAAGTGGATTGAGGACGACAGCGAGGATCTCAAGATTACCAAGGATCAGATCCGCGAAATTCAGGATAAGATCACCGCCGTCAAGTCGTCCCAGGCCAACCACGAGAATGCTCTGGCTGAGAAGGAGATTATTTTGGCCAACAAAGAGGATGTCCTCAGTGTATGTACCTGTGATCGCGCTTGCCTTTGAGACCCTTGGCTCATTTTGCCAGATTTCACTTTCCCCTCTTGGGTGCTTCCAGGATCTGCACCTGCAACTGCGTGAAAAGAACAGCCTGATCAAGGCCATGAAGCGGCAGCTAATGAGCCTGAACCACACCCTGCCTGAGATTGTCCAGGAGATGCCCGACGATGATGATTGGAGCTGTGCGTTTGCAAAAACCTGCCCGTCCAGCCCTCACGCTTTCCCAACCGCCTGACCTTGACCAGCTCATTCCTGCCTTGTGTCCGTCATGTTTTGTCTGCAGGGTAAACAAGCCGACCAACAACACTTGGCTGGCCACTTCCACCGGCCCAAAGTTCCGTCGGAAGCGGTTTCTTGCTCTCTTGTGTTCCGTCACCCGTGTTCATGTGCCCATGTGATTCATGTATTCTCGTCATCTGCTGGTCATTGACCAGACAGCTTGCACACTCCTTCTGGCGTTGCGTCCACCTTTTTGTTCTGCTGGGTCACAGCAGCAACAAGGCAGCGTCTTGTTTCGCACGCTCAACCCATTGTTTCTCTCTTTGATGATTGTCGCTGTGTGTTGCACTTTGTTTTATCCATCCTTGGCCGTCCTCTCAGGGGCCTCCACCAATTAAAACTAGCCTCTGTATTCATGAGCCCGTGTCAATGATGTACACACTCGCCATTGCCATCTTGGAACATGACAGCAGATTGTACATCTGATCGAGATTTTTTATCTTATTTTCCGTCTGGGATCGATTATCATGGATCTGAATCTTGATTTTTGTCAACCTGTCTGCCTGTCAAATCAGAAGCATAACAACGGTAGCAACACGCAGGCCAGCATGGGCGAGAGCGCCAACTAAGACTTGAAGGTCAACTCCATTGCAAACTGGGGTTCGAACATCTTGAGGTGTTTCTTCTTGTGCGCCCCGTCCAGTTCTTGGCGAACCATGCGCAGAGACGTCCCCTCAACCATGCCGGTAAAAAAAGTCGCAGCAAACATCTTCTCTTCGGAATGGAAGCCACGGTCACAGTCCCACAGCTCGATGCGGATATTGCCCTCGATAGCCATATTGCACGAAAAGCTACACGATTTGTTTCGTAGGAAAAGTGAGGAAACTTTTGGTAGCCACGAGTGACTAGCAAAAGGACAAGCACACGAACCGGATATCGCGATGGGTTTGGCGCTTGTACGCCTGAAGCTGCCGCAGCTCCGCGGGCTTTGAAGAGAAGATGAGCACGCCTTCTTGGTAGACCTGATAGTAGGGCTGACAACCACCCGAAAAGTCGTAGTTGGGGACGCCATGCAGACGTATGCCTGTCAGAGTCAATGGCGTTGCCGGGGGCACGGTACGATCCCCTTGCAACATAGTATGAAAGTAGCGGATATAACGGCGTTGAGATGGGATGGTCACCCCCTGCAGCAGCGCGACGCCGGTGATTGAGATGTAACATGTTCGCTTGGCATGGGACCAACGGGCACGCGACACGAAAAGTCTCTCTGAGGCATGCCCGAACCGCATGGTCTCTCTTTGAAGCCACGGGGCACCTACCTTGCCGTTATGTGTGCGCTTAGCGCCAAACATGGTCATGGCACTGTCCGGATCCGGGCAAATGCCGGCGTACATCAAATAACAGCTAATGATGAGCCCGGTGCGGCCTGAAAACGAGATCAAACATACACAGAAACAACGTTAAACAAAGTGCTTCCTGTTTGGACGGCAGCACTTTGAAAGCTCAAACGAAGTGTTGTGTACGAACCTTTTCCGGCCTTGCAGTGGATGGCAGCTACGTTGCGTTCGGGATTGGCAGCCAACCAGGCATGAATGTCCGCACAACACGCCAACACGAGCGGCAGTGGCGCTGGATTGTGGTCGTCGAATGGGTACACGCCAACACGGTTGTGGAACCTGTAGGTGGTTGGACAGGCCGGATTACCGTTCGAATGGAGGCGCTACCCACGACTGCACCCAATGGATAGACATGACGGCCATACCGTGAAGGAGGGTAAGCGCGCTCGGAGCAAAGATTGTAGACACGGTAGGCCCCGGGATGCCGCTCTTCCAAGAAGCGCAGGGTATCCTCGTAGCGGTTGCGATAGACGGCTTCGGTCCCTTCCGCCGGGTAGCCCATGGCCACAATGTTGGGCGTGATGTAGGTCAGGTCGAGATCAAATCCATCCTTTTGGAAGCGAATTTTTTGTTTCGAGACCAGCTGGCGGACCTGCAAAATGCGATAGCCCAAAAAAGGTCAGGCTGAAAAGAAAGAAAAAAAAAAAAAAAAAAAAAAAAAAGAACGGACAGCCGGGGAAAAGGGGCAACCTGGCCCGAATGTCAACAATCAACAAGAGATACCGTCAGCACAAACCTTGTTGGAGGCATTGATACCACGTGCAAAGTTTGTAAAACGCGATGCGAGAGAGTGCTGCGCGACGGGGAGGATTGTACCATCCAGCGACTGCGAGTCGAGGGCGGCACAGTAGCGGATCCGTGCCATCCAGGCGTCACGGTCAGCATCGCTGCTGCCAGCAAGGACATACTTTCTACTCGACGTGGTTATGAGTGGCAGGCCGTTGGTGAGCGCAGTCCCAGCTTTGTAGTTTTGAACGAGACAATGAGCAGCAAGACCGTACTCGCGCTTATTGGTGGCACTACTGCGACGTTTGGCACTCTGATCCGAGGCGACGATAAAGCCATGGGGACGTTTACTGCTGGTAGATTGTGTCACCTGCGCAAAATCGGGGGTGACGAGCCAGGGCACAAAATGAATGTCAAGAGTTTCGCGTATGTGATGTGAACTATTGGTCGGCGTGGAGCGTACCTCGGCTCCTACAACGTCAATGGCGTTGATGGGGGTACTATTCCGACCCGAAGCTTGTGGGGCATCGGGAAAGTAGACGAGCAGGCCGTTACTCTGCAGGACGAAATAGCGCCGGCGCCAACTACGAATTTGGCCACCCTCCTACGCATGCCGACAAGACAAAACGAATACCTGGATTAAGCGGGCGTGTCACCGGCAAAAGGTAGAGCTGCGTAGCGCACGGGCCAGGCTAGGCGCGGACCTTGAACAGCCAGCCCTGGTGAATGACATTGTCATGCTCAACGACCGAGGCGGCCGAGGCGGCGTCTGGTAGGCTGGGCTTGCGATCGATTTCCTCCTCATCTGAGCTGCTATCAACATCGTCTTCAGAATCTGGCTCATCCAGGGACGCATCTTGATCCTCATCAGGTTCTTCAACGGCCGATCGGTCCATGGCTGAAGCTGAGGCAGTGGTACCTTTACTGGGACTGGGACTGGGGCTAGCACTGGCGTTGGTTGTGCTGTCCAACGCAGGCGACTGAGCAGTACCCGTGTGTTCAGCGTTGTTGGTTGTCGAAGCGTACATTTGTTGTTTCTCCAACAAGGGCGCCAGACTACCAAAGCCGACCCGCTTTTCCGGTTTATGGAGTGGGGTCTGTGCCGGGTTGGAAACGCTCTAGGCATGGTGGGATTCCAAGCAAGAAAAAAAAAGGCCATGAGTCGGCCGAAACGCATTGGCTGAAGGCTCGGGTGGCTGGAGCAGTGAGAGCAAAGAAAAGGCCTGTCATTGTGCGGTATACCTGGGCGCCGTCGGCTGTCTCTGTCAATATGGTCCCGGTCCTCGCATTGCGGATGTAGCGGGTACCATCCAGCCTAGGCACGGTTTAAGGCGGCGGGTTCGAGGTGAATCACCATTCATGAAGGACTGCGCACGCGGATACGCAAAAGATGCACGTTAAGGTGGAGTTGTTGACGTACAAGATTTCCACAACGGTACCGTCGGGCAAGGACACGATCTTGGTGCCGTTGAAGCTAGAGGGGAGGGATCGATGGGACAAGGATTGCCGAGTTGAGGCCAGGTTGACGATCCGGCTTGAACAATCGATCCGGTACAAAGAGAGAAGGAGCAAGACGGTGGGAAACGAGACGCGGCGATCGAGGCAAGCATACCGATGCTGAATGACCGTGCCGTTGGCCAAGCGTACAGTGCTTTCATCCTCTCGATTGAGTTGAACCTGGATGTCGGATGATGGCAGAGCAGATCGGCGCGAGAGGTAATTCCCAGACCCCAAACATGAGCATTCCCAAGGTCATCGAGTTCAAAGCAAAAGGCACGTTGCGTATTTGTACGGGGAGGGGGAGCAAAAGCCACGATCATAGCGGCGGCGGCGGCGGCGGCGGCGACCCAAGCCACTGCAAGCCATGCGAGCGGGTCCAACCTGGACATCTGGGTGAACGTTGACGGTAATGGCCGACGGGTCGGCTTCGCCTCCAGCGCTTTGAGCCAAGCAAGCCTCATGTCGGTGCCGGTAGTGATCAATGGCATCCTCCAGCAGCCGCAAGCTATCCGACATGTCCGCCGGCGCCACAGGCAATGCCTCTTCCCCACCTGCCGCTGCCATGGTCCCGAGCAGATGGAAAAAAAAAAAGTGTGTGTGTGTGTGTGTGTGTGTGTGTGTGTGTGTGTGTGTGTGTGTGTGTGTGTTATTTAGAGAGAGAAAGAGAGCGAGAGACAGACAGAGAGATAGAGAGAGATTTGAGATTTAGAGAGAGAGATTCAGAGAGATTTGAGAGAGATTTGAGATTTAGAGAGGGATTTCAGAGAGAGAGAGATTTCGAGATTTCGAGATTTCGAGAGAGCTGTAGAGAGAGAGATTCAGAGAGATTCAGAGAGAGATTTAGAGATTCAGAGAGAAGAGATTTTGAGAGAGAGAACACAACCCACTTGATTTCCCTCTCTCCTTTCCCTACTCAATGCTCCCTTCCATGCGTGTGCGAGAGTCTCTCTCAATCGCTCTCAATCCACGACACCCTCTCGCTTTGTTCTGTCTTCTGCCAGTCTGTAATTGAATTCCCTGCTCAAACCGGCATCTTCTCATTCGTGTTGGATGGGACCAGATGACCACAGGGAAGGGAAGCAGGAGGGGATGAGTTTCATCTCAACTGGTTCTATCGCGAAAGAGGAAAGGGGGGCAAAAGTCTAGAATAACGCCCAACCCCAAAGTACAGCGCGAGCAAAAGGGACGACACCAATGACAGAGTGAAAGGAGAAAATATTTGAACGGAAGCGAGCGCATCTGGTCTACACGGCATGCTCTCTGAAGGAGAAGCACTACCACGAACAGGGTTCATGCACGAGTCGTTCCCGTCCGACCTAGAGAGGATAGGAAAACGAAACAAAAACGCAAAAATACAAAGGAAGAAACAGAGAGGGATTGACATGGCATGTGCCACGCCAAGTTGAGGATAAAGGCCAGACATCAAGGTCATGCTTGTCCTCAAACATCAAACCCCTCAAAAAAGAAAAAAAAAAAGAAGAAGAGGGGAAAGGTCAAGAAACACCAAAACGTCACCGGTTCAAGACATTGAGCCGTACATGCGCGCACCACACGCTCTGCCTGTAAGCCTGACGGCTTGGATGCCAAACGGCAACGGCCAGGAATAAGCAGCCTGGTCTCTCCGAAGCCTGGTCTTCCGGCAGCAAGAGGAGGTGCGAACATGGTTCTGAGACGACTTAGATGCTTTGATAGGTGGATGCACTCTGGCCACGAATACGAGCAAGAGTAAACGCAAAGCCATCACGGACGAGGCCGGGGAGTGACACCCAAAATTCCTTGTTGGGAACGCTCTCGCTGGGAGGGTTCTTCTGGACAAAGTGGAGGATAACAAAGCCAAAGATGAAGTAGCCACCAAGGACGCCGAAGAAGACGCCGCAAAGGATGGCGCCAACATCGGTTTTCTTGTGGCCGCTCTTGCCACTGGGACTCTTGGTGGGTGCGGGGGCACTGTTGCAGTCGCCGGGGGTGTAGTCGGTGCAGGCACTGCGGTGGGAAATTTCAAACTGGTAGGTGTTGGTAGCATCATTCTCGCCCACATAGGTGACGTTGGGGACCGCCTGTGACCGATGGGGCGGAGGCGAAGCAGGTAAGGATTAAGAGGTGGAAGCGAGGCGGTTTGTGACACGGCCCACAAGCGTTTGCGCAGCCGTTCGATGAACAGTGCCCATGGATCGTACCGCGTTCTCATCGCAGGAAACGTAGATGGCAGCCTGGCGATTGCCGGTACCACCCTTGATCAGGATTTGCATTTGTCCGGGGGATGCCTCAATCCAGGTCTGCTGGGTGATGTCACCTACAAGTCAAAAAGGAAAAGACGATCGCGGATGCCGATGAGGCGTTGTGAAATGGATTTGGACATGCGTTGATGGAAAGGGAAAAAAAAAACAAAAAAAAAAAAAAAAACGAGCGCAGTGGAATGGCGCATACGCCGAAGAGACAGCGGTAGGAGAGCGACATACCAATGGACCAGCAAGAGCCGCCCTGCTTGTAGTCGGCCTGAAAGCCACCGCTCACGGTGGGGCTCAGAGGATCAACCGAGGCACAGTATCTACAGATTTGGAAGGAACAGGAGGAAACGGGCAAGGGCGAGGGCGTCAGTTTGAAGGCAACATCATTGGGCCAACCATCAAGGAGAGCATGCGTGTGTGGTCCAACTGACTGGACATCCGAGGAGCCGGCCTTGAGGCCCTGGTTGGCGTTGAGGTAGAAGATGTATTGACCGTTGTCACCGTTGGGTACCAGCACAGAGACGTAGTCGGTGTCCTTGGTCTGGAAGGCGCAAGTCAAATCATAGCTGTCGGCGCAGCAAACGAGTTGGTGTGAAAAAAAAAAAAAAAAAAGAAGAGTTGGTGCAAAGGGTGCGAGCCGATTCAAAATCTTGTGGGCGTGTGAATAGTGCAGCGGAGGGCGCGGGTAGCTTACGTGGTAGAGCCGCACTTGGCGGTCACGCGGCCATTGTTACTGACAGGGTCAGAGCAGGTGACCGAGGCAGCGCTGGCCATGCCGGCCAGGCCCAGCACGAGGAGCGCAAGCTTCATCATTTTGTCGAGTCGGGAGAGGAGGTATGGCACACGTTGACAAAAGCACTGATCTGCAAGAAGGAGCAGGATTGGACGATCAAAGTGAGCAAAATCAGTCAGCTTTGACAAGGCGCGAGCGAGAAGAACGTCAGGGGACAGACAGAGAAGGAAAGGGAGAGCGAAGACACTGGTGATAGAAAACGATGTGTGTCGCCAGAGGTGCGCGGAAAGAACAAGGGGGCAACAGTTGAGTCCACACATTTGCACGAGCAACTCAGATGACATGGGGTAGAGAAAAAAGGAGGGAAGGACGTGCACGGACGAGAGACACACACATTGAAAAAAAAAAAAAAAAAAAAAGAGAGAGAGAGAGAGAGAGAGAGAGAGAGAGAGAGAGACAGAGAGAGAGACAGAGAGAGAGACAGAGAGAGACAGAGAGAAGAAGAACAAGGGGGAAAAGGCGCGATCGTACTAGGAACGACACGGGAAGACAAGGGGGAAGGTGGAAGAGAAAGAAAAAGAGGGAGCGGCCGGATGCTCTGAGCCATCACCAAGAGGCATCAAGCACAGAGGGAGAGAGGGAGAGAGGAGAGAGAGGGAGAGAGGAGAGAGATCAGTGCCGGCAGCCGTGCTCGTGCGAGCCATGACAGCATACAGATTGGCACCCTCACCCACGTACACATACACATACAGGCGATGATACCCCTTCCAAAGATCCAACCCTGCCAGCCTCCGCCGCCCTCATCCCCAACATCATCACCATCATCATCATCACTCTACCCGCTGCCATTTTTAATCTTTAGACTGTGTGTGTGCACTGACCTGGTCAACCAAAGAAACTGAATGTACCTCTGGTTGTGCGATCATTCCTCTCTCTGTCTCTTTCTCTCTTACTCTCTTTCTCTCTCCGTCTCTCTCTCGCTCTCGCTCTCTCTGTCTGTCTCTCTGTCTGTCTCTCTCTCTGTCTTTCTCTTTGTCTTTCTCTCTGTCTCTCTCTCTCTTCACTCTCTGTCTCTCGCTCTCTCTGTGTTGCGAGAACAAAAGCTCTTTTGTTCTGATTCACCCCTTCACGTGTGTGTGTGTGCGTGTGTGTGTGTGTGTGTGTGCTTTTGGTGTTGCTGCAACAGCTACACGGCGCCATGACGGCAACGTCAAAGAGGAGGGTGTGCATCTGTCAGATGGCCCGAGCCCAAAGCCCGTCCAGCAGCATCAGGGCGAGGCGTAGAGAGGAAGGACGGAACAGCTGGATCCTCTGGCGCCAACAAGACGTCATAGTGACCGAGACAGAGCGAGAGACAGAGAGAGGCAGAGAGAGAGAGAGCGCCATAGGAAGACGCATCTACATCGGAACAAGAGCAAGCATCATATTCTAGATGCTAGCATGGTGGAGCTGCTGGTCGGTAATGAGCCATCTCAATCAACTCATTTACACCGTTGTCGAATGCCTTCACCAGCCGCCGCCACTGCCGCTGCCATCGCCGCTGCCATCGCCGCCGCCGTTTCCATATTTGATGGTCAACCTCCAGAAACCCAAGGGTGGAGGTGCTCGGAACATGTCTCTGTAAGGCTAGGGGTTTAGCTGGTAGAATTTGTCAGAATGGTCCCACATCACTTGTCTCTCTTGTATTTCTTTGTTTGGATCCCAAAAGGAAAGGTTTCTGGAGGGAACGATGACTAGGTAAGTCTGGCACATATCACACTTTATTACTCAAAGTGTGAATGATGACAGATTCGAGCCAAAAGGCATCTCAACGTGTGTGGGTGGCCGTTTTCGGGTCTTTTGGGGGTCGATTTATAGTGGCATACACATGATGTAAGCCAGGGCGGGGGCACATAGAGCGGCTAGCGTACATATGGCAGCCTGGCTAACCCTGAGCCGGGAACCCGGCCTTTGTCCTGAGCAGTTTCAAGTACATTGGCCCAAGAACATGTGCTGTAACCGTCCACACGCGTCTCATCCTGATGCCATTCAGCACCCCCACCCTCTGCCAAGCCGGCGAAACTTCGCCCCTCACTCCTCCGAAACCTATTCTTGGTCTTTCGAGAACAAAAGGGATGCGATGAGGACAACGGTCTTACCCCGTCGCCGCCGCTTCCCCGCCGCACACCCAGTTGATGCGATCAAATAGACTCTTCCACAAAGGCCATCGATCTCCCAACACACACACACACACACACACACACACACACACACACACACACACACACACTCACAGAGACGTAGAACCACGGCCTCGGATGCAGCGAGTAGCACACAACCCACATTAGCCGTTGGATGTGATCACACACATGAGATTTTGACGTTTTTTTCTTTTTTTTTTTTTGAAAAGTTTGACGCACAACGCCCACTCGGCGCATTTTTTTTTTCAAGCCCTTCTCCTCCTTCTCCTTCTCCTTCTCCTTCTCCTTCTCCTCCCCTTCTCCTCCCCTTCTCCTCCTTCTCCTCCTTCTCCTTCCCCTTCTCCTCCTTCTCCTTCTCCTTCTCCTCCTTCTCCTTCCCCTTCTCCTCCTTCTCCTTCCCCTTCTCCTCCTTCTCCTCCCCTCCTTCCGCCTTCCGCCTTCCCCCTTAAGCATGAGCACTCAAAAGGCTGCAGGGCACCACGAACTTGTGGCCGCCCTGCCCATGTATGATCTTCCAGGACTGGCCAACGCCCATGACGTTTGGTACCAGGCCATCCGCCGTGCCTTTGCAAAAGTTTCCAGCCAGGCATCGGTGCCAGATACCAAGGAGCTGCCTGCAGAATTGTGTCGGCAACCCGAGACCCTGCTCGAGGCTGCCAGCCTCAACGGCCACGTCCTGGCCCCGCTCTACCAGACCTGCGGCCTGCCCCTCGTCTCTGGCCATCGAGACATCTTCCGCCTCGTTGCTGTGCCCCATTATGATGTTGATGAATGTCGCGACGGACATTACTGCTCGGTCATTGTGGCCCGCGATGATGTCCGAGGAAACAGCCCCAGCGATTTTCACGGCTGTGTCGCCGCCGTGAATGGCCAAGACTCCCTCTCTGGTTGCATCATGCTTTACGCCTGGCTTGGTGCCGCCGCTCAACACGTCCGCGTCGTCACCACTGGGGCACACGCCTCCTCGCTCGAGCACTTGCGTCAACGCACCCACGGGGCCTGCCTCGCCGCAATTGATGCCGTCACCCTGGCTCTCCTATGCCAGGAGCAAGGCGCAGATGAGGTGCTGCGTGGCCTTCGCATCGTCGGCCACAGTCCCACCGCTCTGGCCCTTCCCTATGTCACCAGTGCCGTCCTGGCCGACCGCGACCCCAGCCTCGTCCCCCGCCTGCAACAGGCCCTGCAGCAAGCCGCTCAAGATCCCGATCCCGCCGTCGTGGCCGCTCGCCACCGCCTCCACATTGCTCGCTTGGAGCCCGCCGGCCCGCGCTTCACGTTTGATACCTACCGGGCCCGCATCCTGGCCCTCGAACGCGACATCCACGCCGCCTGGCCTCCTGCACCAGCCGCTGATAAGGGCGGCTCCACATCTTTAGACTCGTCCGTGCCTGGTCCCTTTGTCGACGCCGTGACCGACCAGACTGGACACCCCTTGCCCGTGCATCGGGGCCACCTCGACACGGACGCCGTGTTTCTGGCCCGGCTCATTGATACGCTGCGCCACTTTTGCCAGGCCGTCAACGACAACACGTTGGCCGGTCCCGCCCTGAACGACTACAACCACCCCGATGACGGCCACTCTTTGTGGTACCCGCTGATGCCAGAGCCTCACACCGCTCAGCCGACCGACAAGGCGACGACCGCCTGCGGCAGCGGCGGCTGCACGGCCAATGCGGGGTTTGCCCGGGTCATTCTCAAAGCCCCGGTACCCGAAGTTCTCGCTCGTCTTGACCAGGCCACGCCTGACCATCCCACGGCGTTTGTGGGTTTCATTGGCTTTCGCCCTCGCATGCCAGAACGCTTCTCAGAGGACTGTGACACGGTGGCCGCCTGCTGGAGCCTGGACCAAAGCCTCGTCTCGCGTTTGGACCCCAACAAAGTCATTGCCTATTGCTCAGCCGAGCAGCGTCCCGGAGGTGATTGGGGGAACCTGGTCCTGTTCCGCGGTCCGGACCTGGAAGCAGCCCTTGAGGGGTTTAAGCACGGCAATGACACTCACAACACGGCCACGCGCAGCGTGGCGCCTCGCTTCTACAGCCACGTGCGCATCCACGGGTGCCTCCTGACCACGGCTGGCCAGCAACCGCAGGATATCGCGTTCCAGCGCACCCTCCAGGTTCACTACCCCCTGCGCACACAACCTGACCGAGGCCTTTTCCGCCAACTCCACCGCTGGGTGGGCCCCCAGGCCTCGGACAATACCAACGAATCTCCACAACGCTAAACCAGCAGTGTCTTGAAAGCCTCGTCCTACTAGCCACCCGTGTCGCCCCACGCCCTCGCTTCGCTTTTTTCGCGCCCATGATCATGCCAGTGCTGCTCATGCCCCCCACCGGTGGGCTCATCGCGGCTCGTCCAGAGTGTTAGATGATTTCAATTGAATATAAAAAGGGAGGGATAACAGAGACCATTCTACGATGATGAAGATGATGATGATGATGAAGCATCGTACCAGGAGCACGCTACAAGTCATATATAACCAGGACATCCGAGCCTGGTTTCGAGGAGGGCGCGGGCGTGAGGCGTTGACCATCACGAAAGACACCGGATTGCCCCAGGCCGAGGTTGGAACTGACAACGGTTGCGTTGTACTCCTTGGACCACAGGCTCACGGCTTCGGCACCGACCACGGACAAGGCCACGGTGTATAGAAAGGTCTTGATGCCCTTGGCCACGAGTTCGGGTCCCGGGGTTTTATACAAAATGTCCTTGCACACAAAGATGCCGATGGGCTCGGGATGGGTTGGGAAGCGAAGCGTGATCTCATTGTTATCCGCTGCTGCAAAGCAGTTTTCAAACCAGGGGTGCATTTTGCGATATGCCGTCACGATTGCGCCATCGGGTCCAAAGACCAGGGCGGTGTTGTAGGCCGTGCCATTGTTGGCCGTCTCGCACACATCGAACATGGCCGTGAGATTGGCCTCGCGCACGTGACAGCTCATGTTTCGAACGATGGAGTTCCACGAGCTGTTGGTACAGGGCAGAGCGCCGATCGGAGCCTCCAAGAGCGGCAGGCACCACGGCATGGGCGCGCTGGGCTTGGAGCAGGACTTGTCAAAGTCGGGGCCAAACAGCCCAAACTCGGGAAAGACGACCACCTCCACGCCCTGCTCACCGGCAGCCTGCAACGAGTCAAAGTACGCTGGCAAGTTGGTCCACTGCGGAGCCCCAGCATCATCTGCCACCACCGTATGCTGCACCGCCGCCACCCTCAACCCTGCTGCCACTGGCACCACCACCACCATCATCATGAGCATCATCAGCGCCATTGGAGGTGCCATCCTGAGTGTGTGTGTGTGTGTGTGTGTGTGTGTGTGGACAGAGAGAGAGAGGAGACAGAGACAGAGAGAGAGAGAGAGAGAGAGAGTGTGTGTGTGTGTGTGTGTGTGTGTG